CCTTCTCCGCCCTCAGCCATGGCTGTGAAGGAGCCTGCTCAGACTCTGGAAGCCACCACTGACTGCCGGCAGAAACGCGATGCTGTGCCTCTCAAACCGATATTAGCATAGAGCTCAACCACAACCATATAGGGCAGCCCCCACCACCACCAACCTACCCCTACATCCACCCTTCCTCCTCCCCCTCCTCCCTGCGCCCCGACGCCAGCAGCAGCAGTGCGGTCCAGCGGACGCACGGAGCCGGGGCATCAGAGGACAAGCTCCTGGTGATGATGATGATAACGACATCTGCTGCTCTGCTGATCAGCAGCTAAAACCCTACTCATTTTAAAACGTTTGCAGTGAAACGTCTTTGCCAGTTGCATCAGTTTTAAGGACTCCTTGGACTGGAATGGCACCGAGCTCCAGTGTAAAGTTATGAATGGATCTGTGTCTCTGTTTGCACCCGCAGCTCTGCCACCTGCCTGCACACACATTTATACACCTGGCACTTTATAGTATCTAAAGTCTGCATCATTTTGCTTCACAATAAATAATCAGTTTGTTTTGACTCCTGGAGGAGGTGGGTCAGTGAGGCTGCAGCTGCGTGAATATAGTTGTCATTTTGGATTAGCAACAGCAACCGAAGTGTGATGCCGAGAAATACTGACTCAGGTGATTTAAGCATATGCATGATCTAAAATGATGTTAGCAACCTGCAAACTGTATCGTTTCTCCTTTTTGATTAAGTGAAAAGCATATGGACAGTTTTACAGGAAGGATCTACTTTGAATTCTTGCATGGCAGTATGCTGATAAAGACATTGCTGACACCTAGTGGTCACTTAGGGAACTCCCAGGGTAACTACATTCCATTTTAATCTCGTCTATATTTTTATACTGTGAATGCTTTGCCCGTCAGGTGCGTCGTACTTTTTAAACTGCTGAAAACACCTTGAAAGTATTGGTATGTTCAGTTCACTTCAATTCCAATTTATTTGTATAACCCCAATTTACAATGACAATCATCTCAGGGCGCTTTACATGACTTAACTGGGCTGTGGTTTATTACAAATCTATACCTTTTTCATAAAGATTTGGTCAGGGACATTTGCAGACACCTGCATAACTATATTTGTCCTGTACTATCAATTTCTTTGCAGAATTCTAACATCAACTGCACAACAAGATTTATTGTTTGGTTAAGTGCCTTTTTCATCACATTAGAGCTGTAACTTCATGTCTCTCCCTCTCTCTCTCTCTTTATATTCTAATTTAAACATCCTACAGATTTAAACACTTACTGGTTCATTACAATGACTCCTTTTTTGGTGCATGTTTAAATTTATAACCTGTGTTGGCTCTATTAGAGTAATTATGGTAATTTACTGTAACTTCAAATCACTATACATAAAAGGAAATTATTGCATTTTGTGTGGAGTGTAATTAATAATTTTACATTTTCTTTTGTATTTATAATAATATAATTGTGGTTTCAATTTAAGTAATATCCATGGCTGTGTGTGCATAACTGTCTCACAGTGTTTAAGCCATTAAGCAAGTTTAAATACAGTGCTGTTACTTTGGAGGAAAAACAACGGCAAAATTCTTCCCTAGCAGAATTACTCCTGTGAAATATACTGGTTAACTGACACAGCTTACAAAGAGATAAAGTACTTTTGTTACACAGGGGACAATTTGTGGTGCCAATTTTTTATTTATTCAATTAAAGATCAATGTCAACAAGATTACAGTAAGTACACTTTGGGCCTACCTTCTGTTTGTCTGCTCCTCTCAGTTCCCAGGGGATTAGCGGTAGTGATCTTCATCTGATCGGCCAATAGGAGTCAGGAGTGGATGGGCGATGCTCCTGTCCATCACTGCAGTGTCTGTATTGTCTTCTGTCCTCTGGTTGCACGGAGGGAACGGTGACAAGTAAGTGAATGTATAATAAATACATGTATGTGACTGTTAATTTGCATTTTATATGCTGATGTTTCCAAAGAACTTGGATATTACTATGTTTAAAAAAAAAAACATAGTAAATATGGCATTGTAAAACAACTCTCACACACACAGACACAATTATGGCTTCCAAACCCCATCTCAGGTGTTTTTATCCTTTGTGGATGGGTTGTTTGGTTTGAAAATAAAACAACAAAGGTGATCTAATAAACTGCAGCCTATTCTTTTATGATTGTTTTTGAAGTCAGAAGCGTTTCTTGATTTTTCTGTGAGCTGATTATTTTATAAAATTCCCTTTAAGTTACATACCAGGGGATTCTGGTACAAAGGGACAAGACATTTTTGTTACATATTTGAAGAGTTTTTGGCTTTAAATGAAGCCATACGCCAGAGTCTACTACACCAGCCCCTGAGGATGGAGAGAGCAAACACAGAGAACTCTTCTCTGAGGCCAGAAAGCGTTTTTGTGAGCAGAACCTCATGGGATCAATAACAAGGCCGTTGAATCTACCACCACATGCTTATCACCTCACATCTAACTGTTCAGTGAGGCAAAACAATCCATCACCCTCCCATTCAGACAGTGGCAAAACTGTACCCTCACCATCATTATCTGCAATCCAGGATGTTTCTCCAAGAGCATGTAGCAGCTTTGAAAACATGTGCGCCATCCTTCCATTTCTATTAAGGTCCAATAGGTTCAGGTCTGGGCCCAGCCAACACTGTGCCTCTGAGCCTCACTAATCGGCATGAAGTGGACGCCTGTGAGAAGCACAGAGAGGAAACAAACTTGGCTGAAGACATTTTGCTCCCTTTGGGGGGGGGGTGGGCCCCCTGCCACAACCTCTGGTGGGACAGATAATGATCAGAGGAAGAATATGACTCAGAAAAACCTGAGGATGAATCAACAGAATCTCACCGAGACAGACAGATGCACCAGCGAGACAGAGGACAGACAAGATTGTCTGCTCTCTTCAGGTAACAATGCTAATAATACTACTGGGCAAGCAATTAAACAGGGTTAGACAAATTCCATATTGCTGTTTATCAGCTTTCACCAGTATCATAACATGATCAAATAATCCTACCTAGTTATAGTTTACTATGTTGTCCAAATAAATGATGCTATGCAAATGAATTAGGGAAGCTGCAAGTTTGGTCTGCGTCTCGCCACAATATTTATTTAATAACTATTCTAGCTACTGTTCTGCTGAAACAAACCTGAGGACTTACCTGCTCTAGAGGCACTGACAAACACTGGGCCAACAACCTGAACTGTAATTGTTTTTACAGAGTGACATGATGGTCAGCACTGGGGATCTAAAAGCACTTTATTAGTATTTGTAAGCCTGTGTAGTCAGGTTAGATGTCACTGTGGGGTACAAGCATGTCTCAAAGTACAGTAATTGTCAAATTGTTACACAGTAAAAACGTTATCACTGATACGATCTGTCCTTTACAATGCAGGCTGTAATAACATCTTAAAAACAAACAAGGGTGGAACCTTAGAACTAAGAGCAACATCAAACCAGTGAGGGAGGAAGTGGAGTCAAACTTTTTGTTTATTCAGGAACACACACACACACACACACACAGGAGGGGAGAGGTTTGTCTATTTGTACATATGCAACATATTACATTTTTACACTTTTTTGCATTTATTTTTGCTTTTTCTTCTTTGTGTGTCTGCTGAGGAACATGTTTTCACATGGTCCATCTTTAATCTCACCTTTACAGTGTTGTATTATAATATATCATGGTAAACTGCTTTATTGTCTTTTCTGTCTTGTTATATTTGTTATATTTCTGATTTTTATTTACCTAAATTGTTTGCTCTTTTTTTATCCTTGTTTTGATGATGATTTATATATTGATTTGTTGGTTTGTTCATAATATTTTTGAAACAATCAGTTAAACCTGTGTAGCAGAAGTGTATGTTAGATTTAATGTGAGCTGGTTACCAATGCAGTGTAACTGGGGTTAGACTCGCTAAGTCACCCAGATTAGTTGAGTGTTGCTCAACACCTGCAGGGGAGCTGAGAGACTTCCCCGTCACAGTGACTCTACAGGCCAAACAAGCAATCCCTGGTAGGCGTATTTACCCTCCTATGGCTCTGGGTGTGGTGTCCTTCCATCTGATCTGGGTGGCCTCCTTTGCCTTACAGCTCATGCATCTGTCAGGGTGTAGTCAGAAACAGTGGCTGAAGACACGAGCTGCTTCCAGTTACACTGTGACAAGCTGCGGGGTGATATCCAGCATGCTGCTTGGTTAACTTTTCCCGCAGGTGTAGAAGAGCCAGAGGGAAAAGGAGGTAGAACTTGGAAGCTAAGCTGGGACTTGGATCTCATTTTAACTAGTTGAGTCACTGCAACCAGCAGAGCCATGAACCCAGGCTTGGAAGCCATCACTTCTCCATTACTTTGAGGATTTTTCTCCTGTTACTGGCTCCTGAGTGACCGAATGTCGCTTCCAGTCTTAGGTTTAGAAAGTTATTTCTCTGATAAGACCTGAAGGAGCTCTTGCAGCAGTAAAAGGATAAATCTATTTCTTTTCAACAAACCGGAGTGGAAACAGGCCAGATTTTCAGAAGTGAAGATGACCTTAATCACTAGGAAACTGAATATTACTGGAACTGGTTAGAAATATCTGTGCATGCCATAGACTGTATTTTTCTGATGTAAGACAGCACAATGTGGGAAAAGCTTTTCAAAAATGAAGGAGAGAGTTTATCCTCTAACCCTCTGGGACAAGTAACTGTGATAGAAGAAGGCAATGACTCAGACTTGACAGAGGACAGGAAGGATTGTAACCATGAATCTCTGCAGCCAAAACGCATTTCAGCCGACTGCACAAATACAGATTGTGTCTCACCCATCAATGTCAAGCAGGATGACAGTGAAGAAGCCAGCCAGGATGTAAAAAAAGCCAGTGAAAATGTTCAAAGTGCACTTTGCCAGGATGATTTTGTCAAAAGTACACCCACTTCTCATACAGTTCTTCATCCTGATGAATCTGTAAAACGTAGGCCATCGCAAACTAAACACATAGTGATAACTATGACTCAGACATGGCCTGCTGCTGAAGAGAAGGTTGAATCATCAGTGGAGGGAGCTGAGGAGCACTCTGATGGATCCTCCTGCTTGATAAACAAGAAAGAGGGGAAAGGCGCAGAGGATGACAACAAAGAAGCCGAAGAGAAAAGAGATGCATTTCCAGAAAAACAACCCCTCAGCCCAAAAGCCACTTCAAACATCCCCCCAATATCTGCAGCCCTAGACCACAACCCTCCACGTGGTTCCTCCATCACTAGAACCACCTTCTCCCCAGGTTCCCCCACGGAGAAGCAGACCCAGCTCTCAGCCCTCTTCAGTAGCCTGAGGCTCCTGAGGAAGGGGGCGGTCACGCCTGAGCACGACACTGCGGCCCAGATCAAACCTGCATCTCAGGGAGCAAAGAAGGCTTCTTTCACCGAGAAGCAGGTGCAAGGGAGCTTTCTGGATCAAATCACCCAGTTCCTGAGTCGCGAAAAGAAAGCGGATGGAAAAGAAGCGAAGGAAGAGGCAGAGGCTGAGGGAGAACATGTTAAAACAGAGGAGAAGAATGAAGAAAGCCACGAGATCCCTGAGAAGCAAGAAGAAAACACTAAGAATGCTGAAAAAGAGAACACAGAAGTTTCATCTGAGCCTACAAAAAATGCAGAAGTTTCATCTGAGCCTGCAAAAAATACAGAAGTTTCATCTGAGCCTGCAAAAAATGCAGAAGTTTCATCTGAGCCTGCAAAAAATACAGAAGTTTCATCTGAGCCTGCAAAAAATACAGAAGTTTCATCTGAGCCTACAAAACCTGCCATGTCCAGTGCAGAGGCAGCATTTGATGCCTTCAAGGCTTTTTTCACTCCAAGACCTTTGAAGAAGGAATCAGTAGAAAAGGAGGAACTGGAGGCAGTGAGGAAGAAGATCAGAACAGAAAAGGATAGCTTAAGAGCTTTTTTTGAGCGAGCATCCATTAAGAACCAAGAAAAGAAAGACCCATCTGATGGCAAAGTATGCAAAAGAGAGCATCAAACATCAAACAGTGATTCATTAAAATACACAATAATTACTTCTTTCTGTGGAAAGTAGTTCTCTTGAACAAAGCAAGTCAGAGTCTTTTTCAGAAAAATTTACTTTAGAACAATAAATATGTAAATATCTAGAGATGGTCGAGCAGTGTTTGAAGGTTAAAAAGCCTCTGTTGTCAATCTCTTTGCTTGTAGTCTGAGGCACCGCCCCCAGGAGAGGGAGAAGAACGAACTCCTGGTCGTCTGCAAACTGTCTGGCCTCCGCTCAAGGAGGAAAAAGTTGGACTGAAGTATACGGAAGCAGGTATGGAGGAATTAATGTGTGTAATTAGAACATTTGCCACAAAAATATGATCTGCCATGTTTTGCTGACACTGATTTGACCTCCTAAACAACACTTTATGTGCAATGTGTAAGAAGTCCAACCAACATCAGTCACAGCTGAAAAGCATGTAGAAACCCATAGAATGTAACCAGGTTTGTACACCTGGAGTTTGTGATACTCCATTTTAGAGCAGGCTACTGAAAGACAATTTAAAATCTCAAAATCTATGAAAAATCGAGCAGGAAAAGGTGCTGAGTAGGTGTTTGGACCTATTAAAAAGTTCCAGGATTAAGTTTAGGGTTTTTAAAAAATGTAAATTGGAGAATACTGTGCTAAAATGAATGCACTGAATGACTCACAGATCTCGAGCCGACAAAATGATGCTAAACACTGTGACCTGAACATTCCTAACAAATGCCAGGTTGAGATGAAGCAGCAGAGAGCAGGAGTGTTTGCTGTGTGATATCATGTTGTGGATGTTATTAAACTCCGCCGCTAAAGTAAATGCAACTCCACCCTGTGTGTCCACAGTCTGTAAGGCTCCACCTGCTGCATGTGAAAGCATTTACCAGATTCACACTGGGCTGACAGCTGTTAGTTCATTTGAAAAATTGATTTGTAATTTCAAGGAGACTTTAAAAACATTCAACTTTGGTGCCACTCATTGACTGAACTGTGGCAGACAGCAATGCATGCGGATACAAAAGCAGACATTAAAGCTGCTATAATCACTATATTTACACCAACAACGGCTAAATTTACGAAGAGGATGTGATGTATCATTAGTATCAGACTGATTTTGCAGTTCCCCTCAGCTCTCCAAAACATTTAAGCATTTTAAAACATTTAGTTTTACAGCCTGCCACTAAATATGTTTCTAGCAGAGGCTGGCAACTGTTTTCAGCTCTAAACTAAAACTATACACTTCAGCCAGAGTTAACAACTAGCTGGTGAACACAGAGAGAGGGAGGCTAAAAGTAAATTGAATTCATCAACTGTGTGTAAATATGATGTGTAAATATCATATGACTCCCCAGCTAATTTAAATTGTTTTCCTAAGAGGCCAATAAGCTATAACCCGTGAGCCAGACATTTGAGGCTCTACTGCCCTCATCTGACAAAGACTCATCTTGAAACTTTGTCAGCCTGTCCTGAACTACAGCATTCCCTCCAACAGCCCTCAGGCTGCTGCAGCGGTAAAGCATGATTTTGATTTGTTGTGCAAAATGAGTCAGGCCTGTAGTTTTCTGGCATCTCAAAGTTGTTGTAATTTATTTATGGCTTGTACTCAGACACATCCTGTACCCATCATGCTAAAGAAAGCACTCAGTTGTAATAAACATCTGTTTTGGTAAAAGAAAGAACAAAGTTGTTGTAAGATTACTCGGTTTCTTCTCAGAGCACCAGGCCGCTCTTCTGCAGCTGAAGAGAGAATGTAAAGAGGAGCTGGAAAGGTTACAGGTTAGTATGAAGGATGAAAAGCAAATGTGAAGCTCAGAAATGAACAGTGCCAAGCTAGATCTTTCCCATTTGTAGTATTTATGCTAAGCAAACATCTGGCTACCATCTAAGTTCAAATTTGAGTGACAACTTGAAATTTCCTAAAAAGATAAAGTGGTACAATTGACAGATAATTTTCAGAAAAACGGATGCGTAGTTCTATCCCTAATGATAACAAAGAGCGCAGTCAAAGCCTAACATCATTTCAGGAGGACTATGGCCAGAAACTGTCCAGAAAGAGGGTGGAGAAGGAGGAATGTGTTGCTCGGCTGGAGTCGACTCTGGCTGAGCTGCAGGCCAAACTCGACCAGGGTGGGACCCACCCACGAGGGGAACTCAGAGATGTGTGTGTGTCAACAGCAGATGATGTTTTACACAAGTCTTTCCGCAACGTTTGCATCCAAACGGACAGAGAGACATTTGTCAAGACCTCTGAGAGCGGAGGGGGGGCAGGGCGAGCAAACAGTCCTCAGCAGCCGAAGCCGACCTGCAAAAAGCTGGACCTGGCTTCTATCGGCCTCAGCTTGGCCAGTCAGAGGGATGATACAAGGTCCTTCTCTTCACCATCTGCTCTTCCATCCCAAGCTCTTGGATCCTCTTTACATACACCAGAACCACCACCAGCTCCTCCTCAGACAGCAACACCAACCAACATAAACCATGCCCCTCCTCCATCAGCTGCACCATGGTTGCCGTCACCACCACCTGTACATTTTCAGGAATCAAATGACCCACCACCTCTACTGCTGCATCCACCTCCTCCAGGCTCACCTCCCCCACCTCCTCCTCTTCCAGGTGGGGGGTTCATGTTCCATAAACCTCCCAGAAAACTGGCAGTGGAGCCCTCCCGACCCATGAAGCCTCTTTACTGGAACAGAATCCAGATCCAGGAAAACAAGTAGGTTTACAGCCAAATGACAATAACCAAGCAAATAGCAACATGTCCAATGAGAGAATTCAAAGAATTGTCAAATCACATGAAACTTTAGCTGCCTAAAATAAATATCGATGAGTATTAAGATATTATGGGAGGGACCAACTTTTTACTTTAGAGCAATGACAGTGATCAGGTGACATCCAGGTTTAGTCAAATGCATTTACTAACCTCATATCAGGAAGCTGATGCTTGTTTAAACCCTGATACACACACTAATATTACTGCTTTTTCAAATCCTACAGCATAAAGCATAACACATTGAAGCACAGGTTCAAGTAAGATCATGGGTTTTTTTTTTTATTCCCTCAGTAACAACACATTGTGGAACATTTTAGAGGAGCCGAACATAAACACCAGCGAGTTTGAGGATCTGTTTGCCAAAGCCACCGCAAACACCAAGAGGAAGCTGCTGTCAGATGCTTGTGAGAAGAAAACCAAATCCAGGAAGGTAATATGCTAAACTAACTAAAACATCACACCACACCACAGCTTTTGGGAATATTTCCTGAAACAGCAGATTATTGCTAAAGAAAATGTAGAGGCTTACTAACAGTATACGGTGCAGGAGAATGCAACATGTCTCTTGTCCACTAGAGGGCGTAAATGGCCTTGAATACAAATTAAAAATTGTAAATTCAAATCCAAGCGCAATTATGTCATTAGGTCACAGCTGTAAAGAAGCACGTTTTCTCCCCAGTCCTGTAGGTGCATTGTCTCA